ATGCAAAAAAAATAAATAAATAAAAATAAAAAATAAATAAATAAATATTTAACAATTTGCTAAACTTGTTTGACATAACTGAATGTGTTCTCTATCGAGGATTAGTTTACTTATTTGCAGCCATAACAATCAATTCTTAATTTCTTTTTAATTTTTTTAATTTTTTTAACATTTTACTTCTCATTTTTAAAAAAACTCAATACTTTCTTCAAAAATCAGTACCTTTTATTATTTGTATACCATTTTGTTTTTGAGCTCATCGTCCCACCCAACATTACACTTTGGCCCCCCAAGACCAAACAGATTTTAGAAAATAAAATCTAACTTGACCACAAAAGAAGTTGTAACTCAATTTTTGCCAAAATAGGCAAATTATTCACATTGGACTGCTAGCGTGCTAACAGTAATGTTGAGGTTCTGGTTTAAAATACTACACAACAGAGCTATAGCTATTGCTGTAGCTAATCTGGATGAGGCTGGTGGGAAATTATACAACCAAACACTACACCTGATCTGTCCTGATAGTGGAACATTTCAAATGCATATAAAATAATGTTTTACCCCAAAATATCTAATGTTAAAAAGCTGTAATTTGGAAGGGATTTCGATTATGCTTTATAAAGCATGTTCAACCTTGTAGCTTCAAAAAATTGCCTTTGTGGGCGGAGCATGTATGGGTCATTTTTTTTGGCTGGTTAAGTCCCATTGAATGTGCTGCACACTGAGAAGCTTTTTTTTAAAACAGTTTTATGTCCATATATCGTATATCATCCATATATCCTATTTTATTTAAAAGTATTTGTGTATATGTAGTTTACTGTACTACATAAGAACATCTCCTCCATTTCCATGAAGAAATGAAAAAGCAACAAACTTAATGCGATGGGCTCCGTTTTCTCTCACCAGTTCCCTCACAAGTTTCACACTGCAATTGCAACAGGCAGGACCTTTCTGGTGATGTCATCACACAGCCTTGTTAGGACTGTTCCTTTTGTGTGACCAATAGGCTACGAAGGAGGAGTCTTCATAGGACAGTCCTTTCCGAGAACCCACCCTACCTCGGCTGCAGCCTAGGCTTTGCTACTGTGAGCCCCCAGAAAAAAGGCGGTGTGGTGCGACTCCAATTTTTCCAGCTTTAAAGAAGAAGCGATGCGAGCCCACCTCTGTTTTCTACTCACACTTACAGGCTAATTTTTCAGAAACCCCATCATTGTAGCTCTGACCACAGCTAGGAGCTTGAGCGTCTGTTAATGCACAGCTTGTGTTAGCCGTCCTCTAATTCAGTGGTCACCAGCGCTGGTCCTGGAGATCTATACCTTCTTGCAGAGCCCAGTTCCAACCACAATCCTCCACACCTTCTCCAGCTGATTAACCTCTTCCCAGGTCCCTGATATACTGGATCACATGCATTAGAGTTATAAGCAGTGGTCACCAACCATGTACATGGAAATCTACCTTCCTGTGTAGTGTAACATGCTGCCTCCTCCTCTTTTTAACACAAATGCATCTGATCTAGTTAATCAAGAACTTCTGGAGAAGGACCAGGGTTGGAGACCATTGGTTTAGAGGCAGCTTATTAGATGAACGTTGGAACTATACTTTGCAGGAAAGCAGATCTTTATGAGGGTTGGTGACCACTGCTGTAGTTCTTCATGAATGGTCAGTTTGTAATGTTATTAATGCTGAGAGAACGTATCAGGTCATTTACAACCCATTATGAGTTGAAAACCACCAAACCCTCCAATGCAAAGGCACAAAATATATTATGCATACACACACACACACACCTTCTAAGCCGCTTATCCTTCTGGTTTGCAGGGGGAGCTGAAGCCTATCCCAGCAGTCATTGGGTGGAAGGCAGGACCCTGGACAGGTCACCAGTTCATCACAGGGCAGACAGAGAGACATACACAGTCACACCCACACTCACACCTAGGGACAATTTGGCATGTCCAATTAGCCTGACTGCATGTCTTTGGACTGTGGGAGGAAACCCATGCAGACACAGGGAGAACATGCAAACTCCACACAGAAAGTACCCTGGTCGCCTGGACAATCGAATTCAGGCCCTTCTTGCTGTGAGGCAACAGTGCTACCCGCTGCGCCACCGCGCCACCCTATATTATGCATATTATTTAAAAAAATTATTCTAAATTGTTCATATATTTTATATGCTTAATGTAATTCACTGTTTAATACATTTTTCAATTCTTTGTGTAAAGTAACAAAATGCAGTGCATAGATTTAAGAAATAGTTCAGTCCAGTATGCTAATGTTTCTAACAGCGAATGACATTACAAAGCTACTAATTAGCATCATGCTAGTGAAATCATGCTAACTGGTGGCCATTCATCATAAGCCACATTAGCATGTTTAGCTAAGCTGTTCCTTTGAGAAGCTTAAAATAAAAGCTTTCACCTCTTTGTATTGTTTTAAATGAACAGGTATCATCAGTAATCGTTAAAGCACCTTAAAGCACCAAATCACTCCGCTTCTATTCTTCTCTTCTCACCCACACAATATATCACCCACAAATCAAAAACACCCAAACTGGACTCCTGCATACAAATTAATAATAATGTCCCCACTGTGTAACCCTCTGACCCCCGTCTCTAAGGAAACAGCCCCTCGTCCTCTCAGTAAATGAGGAAAGCTCATGCATTTTGTTTGCATTATAAAGCGGGTGATTAACTCACGCGCACTCGCTTCATTAGCTCACGGATGGATGAAATGAAGCATTAACCCACTGACCTGTTAAATAATGAAGCATTTCTCATTTACCTGCAAAATTATCGCTTCTCACTCTCCATATCACGCAGCCCAGTTTCATCAGCTGCACTAAAATCACTTTAGAATGATCGATTTTAACAGTTAACATATGTCATGTGAGTAATTTGGATGAAGGACTAGATTTTGTGTTTTTTAATTTTGTGTTGAATTAGGTGAATATTAAAGCAGGAAAAGTACAAACTACATACAGTAATATGCAAAAAAGTGAAAAATAAATTACCATATCTTCTGTGTGTGTATATATATATATATATGTGAAATGAACTTCTGTGTGTGTATATATATATATATATATATATGTGTATTTTATATACATACATACATACATGCATACATATACATATACATACATGCATTATATATATATATATATACATATATATATATATATATATATATATATATATATATATATATATATATATATATATATTTATATGTATGTATATAGGGCCAAAAACAAAAACATATTTATAGATTATTATATATATCAATTTTCTTCACTGTAGAGGATGTCTTAATAAACCCATATGAAAAAAATATATATTTCCATACATTTTTCAAAATATGTGCCATGTCTGTAATATTTTTCTGCATTTGTTTTACTATCACATATACATCATTTATTATCTTCAATATGTTGCCATATATGTGAATGTATATTTAAATATTGGCCTGGTTAAATGTACCGTTCAAATACATTTTACAACATCGCATATATTGTATGTATATTTTGATGCAATAATGCAAACATGAGCAAATATATGCCGATATTCTTCGATATAGACAATCAGCTAATCTAATTTGACAGAGGGTGTTCAAACGTTTGCATACACTCTTAAAAAAGATGGCAAATTAATATAGTGCTACACACTGTAAAAAATCAAAAAGGTTTGTGAAGTTACCAGAACAATATTTAGCGTCTTACATTTTGCTAACTTATTGCTTTGAATCATTTAAACAGGTTTCTGATATGTTTTAGAAGAGAATTCCTTTCAAAATTTCTGCATAAGTCATTCACTGAGTCATTCAGAGTGGTTTGGTGTGAAATGGTTCAGATTTCTTTACAGTGGTGGCGATAGGAACCAGGGGTCACCATGACTACAACACAAATATAGCCATTTTATTTACTGTCCAAAACCACTAGTGAACCAACACGTGTCTTCTGAGTGTTTATATGGAATGTTAATGATGGTGAAATAGTGATAAATCTGAAAAAAGTCTTCATTTTGGGGCTATTTTGCTTCACACTACCCTACATGTATCTATAAACAATGAATGGATTTTAAAAAATATATTTTAGACCAAAAATATTCTCAAAACCAACATGAAAAATGAGGCACATTGAAAACCATTTCACATAAAAACTTTCTGTGAGCTGAGCTTTTAGAGGTGGACGTCTGGTTCCCATCACCACCACTGTGCACAGACTCCTCTAGAAGTTCCTCTAGAAAAGAGCATTTCACACCAAACCACTCTGAACGGCTATATTTAGGTCTTTATGACCGAATTGTGCAGAAAGTTTAAAATACTGGTGGAATTCCCCTTTAATTCATTTCAACCCAGTGTGAGGAATGCAATATAACCACTAGAGGGCAATATTTAACAACTTAGGTCCACAAGAATAAACTTGTAAAGATCTGGCTTTTACATATAGTACATCTACATATCACTGCTGGAACAAAACCTCGTATTTCCATTTTTGTCATTTTTCAGGTTTTGACATAATTTGAATTTATATTGTGCGCAAATTTATGTCATTTATATTGGGGCCAAAATAAAAAAAATGTGTTTCCATTGACTTACATTACAAGTAAAGTATGTTTTTTCCTTCTCCTGTAAAATGTTTATTTCTGAAATACAAACTTTTGTTCTCACAGCAGTGGCATATGCATATGTTTCACTATATTGCCATGCATGTGCTTATATTGGTACATGTTTAAATATTCAAAAATGGCACAGTTAAATATGTTTATCACAAAGATTTTTAAAATATCACCTACTATTCAAACCAGCTTGAGCTATGGTCTTTAGCAGGGTGTGGGGTGCCTCAATACAGTCAGCACACAGTGATCACTTCCTGAAATGACTCATGAATATGTTTGAAAAGAATTCCTTTTAAAAACCTCCTTGTTGCAGATAAGCTCTTCAAACACATACCTTTACAGGTCACAGCCTGGATTACACAGAACTGAGTCTGATAACTGGAGTTAATCATTAAGAGAGTCAGTCAGATACTGTTGTTTATTGTGGAAGGTGTGTGTACAAGTGTATTTACAGAAATATACAGAACATCATTTACCTCAAAGCACAGAAATGTATACAAAAATTGCATCAGATTAGTCCAGCTTCACAGGGAGAGATTCATATTTCTCCCAGAAGAAATTTGCACATTATGGGAACAGTTTTTTTACAGCTCTCCTACATTCCTGAGATACAAAAAAACCTACAATTGATCCCCAATACAACTGGAATCAGTTTTCAATCTGTACTTCTCTGATGAATCAGTTCTTCTTTTTAACCAAAATTCCCCCAAAATTCCTAAAAACCCATTTTTTTCACATCTCACAGAAGCAGAAAGAATCATCCATCTGCAGGATCTTGGACCATCCAAAAATGTTTGCTTTTATAGAAAAGCAAATAAAAGTCCTGCTAATAAAAGCACCAAAGTTGTCCATTTTCTTTGTAAAGTGCTGGCTTGGTTTTCCAGTTTGCTGGACTCCATCGGGTCAGATATCCTTACAGGGCACTCTGCAGGAAGAGAAAATTGACAACATCAGAATGACAATTTTTCAAAACAACTTTTTTGATTGACTTTATTTACACAAGGAGTTCAAAGAAATTTAAACAAGTTCTGTAGATGGTTCTATATAGAACCTTTTTGAAAAGCTTCCATTTTGAAAAGATGGATGATGTTCCACTATTGGAACCCTTTTAATGAAGAGCATATGACTATACTTTGATGTTTGAATGCTAGACTGAAAATTAGCCCTTGTTTATTACTCAGTATAAAACAATATGTAAAAGCTCACTGAAAAATGTAAACATTATATGCACAATCTTAAAAGTGATGGTTCTTCAAGAGTTCTAAAAAATGATTCTATATGGAACCATGAACTCTTAAAGAACCCTTTGCATGATTAAAGGGCTCCACAAAAATAAACTTGTATAGGTCTGGCTTTTACATATCTACATCTACATATTGCTGCTGGAGGAACAAAACCTTGTATCTCCATTTTGTTCAGTTTTTGACATATTTTAAAAGCCTCTTACCCTTTACATTGTGTACAAATTTCAAGATGAATGGACCAGAACAAACGGCCCAAAATTATTTGTAAAAATGTTTGGTTCCATAGACTTACATTAAAAGTAAAGTAGGTTTTTTCCTTCTCCTGTAAAGTTATTTTTTCAGCAATAGAGGGTTTTTTTCTCACAGCAGCGACACGTGCATATGAAATTTAAATACGGGGGGTCTTTCACATAAAGTCTAAAGAAAAGCTCTGACCACTAAAATCTGCCCTTTTATTTTTACTGTGTTGTAGTTAACCTGCTCTGTTGTTCTGTTCTTAATTCTTTTGTTTTACACAGTCAACTAATGACGGCACAAGCCACAGCTAAAATTCCTCATGTGTTGAAAGTAAATGGATGTGATGATTTATCAAACATGTTAACCACCCCAAGAAACACAACATCTGAATGCCTGTCACTTGTCATTACTTTTCATACAACCCTATTTGGACACTTTACTGGACACTGGTTATTTGAGTTTGACAAAACCTCACACTTGATGACCAGACCGCCCAAGCTTTCCACATTCTACATGCTTTTAAAAAAAATTCTTGTGTCCTGACTGTGAAAGCTAAAAATACCCACCTAAGACATTCAGGGTTGTGTTGGCTCTGTCATGACCACGATCTGAGAACAATTTACAGAAGTACCGCCCCTCTTCATCTTTCCCGGGACTCAGAATGGTCAATGCTAACTGCTGCAGATCAGTGTACTGACAGTGGAAGCGATCAGAGGTTTCTGTATTCAGGGTGGCAGAGTGTGTGCAGAGTTTTCCTTGCGAGGAATTCATCCAAAAAAAATCCACAATGCTAAAATTTTTGTGCGGGGTTGAAATGTTACAAAAGAGGGTGACACTCTGCTCGCACGCTGACCAAACAACCTCCTCTGTTTGGACCTTCACATGACCTGCACCTGAAAAAATAACAACATAACAAAGATCATGATGAAGGGGTAAAAGAAAAAACAGCTGCTCAACAACAAAGTGAAAACCGAATGGATCGATGAATGGATCGATACTGTATTGATACTTCTGATCCTGACATTTTTACTACAACAACATGTTGATGAACAGGCATTATACGGGTATATATTGGACAGGGCTGGGTTTTCCCGAAGCATCTTAGCACAAAGATGATTCTTAAACGGAGACCTCTCTAGTGGAAATGTGTAATTGCATGCATTGTGTGCAAGAGAGTGTAGAGTGGGTTGTGTTTCAGACCCCTTTGCATTTGAGATCTAAACACTGAGTCATATGATGTAGCCTGAAAAACTCCCATGACTTTTTAAAATGTTTCAAAGTCATTTTAATTTTTAATTATTTCAGGCTTGACAGGGCGACTCACAGCACTGCATGTGCATCATAATTTAGCCTTTTTCTTTCCTCCTGACTCAGTAAAGCTACTTCTTTCAATTCTAACAAAAAGGTTAGGACTAAAGCAAGGACTCTCAATTTGTACTACAGACTTTTTATGTACATGAGAAAACTTTTGGAAGTATTTTTATTGATATTACGACACTAGCCTTTGTAGACATATTATTGAAACAACAACAAATTCAGTAGCATTGCCCATCCTTAGTAAAACTGGTTTAAAAAAGCACTTACCTCCTCTTAGCACAGAGAAGACCACCGTGAGGAACAGAGCAAGTGCCTGCATGATCTCCCTGTGAACCTGAACAGGACATGGGACTGAATTAGCTTAGCCTGTTTTGTAGCATTTATTTGAATAATCCAATGTAGAGGCTTTGTTGATTCAAAGGTAATATTTAATTAACATTCTACCAAATATCTGTAACCTTACAATTTAAGTCAGACGGTTCTGTCTTTGACTCCTTTAACTGAAAATCTGCTTTTAAAATCACATTATGAAAGAAGCTCCATGCTCCAGTGAGTGTACACATTCAGAATCCCATTCAAGCATGAACATGCTTATTACTGATTTGCCTTATTAGAGTAACAATAAAAAGCATGTCCTGTACACATCAAAATAATTGTGGCAACATCTTATAAATGGAGAAGAGTGGATTAAAAGGAAGAAATAGACACTTTTTGGCCTTGGAATTATAGAGTTATGGGTGTTTCACAATAGAGTACCATATATCAATAAGACAACACTTACAAAGAAGTTATGAATTGTTTAAGAAGAGTTTATTAATGGTAATTAATAATAAATAAGCAGGTATGCACAAAAATGTCTGTTTCTTGCCAAATAGTGGGCCAACATTTATCTATACTATTAAACCTCTAGCTTTTTACTGAACTTGCTCCATCAGTCAGCATTAAAATGTCAGCTTTTTATGTTCATTACATATAACAGCCTTTTATTTGTGTGTTGTAATCCACTATTGTTGGAACCAAATCTCATATCTCCATTTTTGTTGTTTTTCAGGTTTTAAAATAATTTGAAAATGCTTGTCACCCTTTATATTGTGCACAAATTTCATGATAAATGGACCAAAAGAAATGGCCCAAAATTACTTAGAAAAAAAGTCTGGTTCCACTGATTTACATTAAAAATAAAATATGTTTTTTCCTTCTCCTGTAAAGTTACCTTTTTGGAGATATGAGAATTTGTTCCAATAGCAGCAAATTGCTCATTGAATATTTGAAGGAGTTTATAATTTAATTGATTAGCTATTATAACCATTCATAAACTCTTTCTAAAGTGGTGCCGATTAAAGTAAAAAAAGTAAAAAGGCTTCAGAAAAGTGGAAATACGAAAAGTGAGCTATTACCCTCCACTGCTCTCTGACAATCCCAGATAATCTGTCCAATGATTGTACCATCTGCAGTGTACTTTCCAAGCAAAACTGTTCCTCTTCTATTGTAATGAGCCTTTTACTCATTGTGTACTGCATTCTTGTTCCACACTTAGTGCAGTTAATCTCATGACTGAGCTGTAAAACGCGACTCACCAGGCTGTAGTAGTGGCAGAAGATCTCCCTGTGTTTTCTTGGTCAGTCTTTGCTGGTCTGTGCTCCAGAATATCCTCTGTCTTGGCTGAGTTAAGGAAGAGGCTCATGTGGTTATGGACGTTCAGTCAGTGTGGAGGTTGTGCCCCCTCATACAGGTGTGTTTCATACCTGCCTGCACCTGAAACAGGAGAAGGGGGCGGAGTGAAAAAGGTGAAAGTACTTATACAATGTCAAATTTTCATTCTTCACACCTGCATACATGCTCGGACTTGATATGCCTGACCTGACATGATCTGTTTGCTGAGAACGTGTTAAGATTTGCCTGCTGTTATTCTTCTGTAGAAGATCTGTACGCCCACATGCACATTTATTTGGGCTTTTCGAGGAGAGTTTCAGGTTTATGTTGAATCTCAGATGCCCTTTGCTCACTCATAACAGTCAACAACACATTCCTTTAAACGCTGTTTTCTCTGCCCAAACAACCTGGTCTAAACTGGTCACATAATCATAAGTCCCTTCCATTCCTTCTGATGATCAAGACTCAAGACAGACTGACCAGGTGTGTTGTTACAAAACCTCAGAGAAAGCTGCTTTATAAGAATCTCAGCTCTTTAGCTTCATATACCAAACCTGAAGTAGGACACCTGGGTGTGATCTTAGACTCTGAGCTCTGTTTCATCTGCATGTAAACACTAAAGTGTCTTTTTTATCATTTGAGAAATGTTCAGCCTTTTTTTTTCTCAGAGTGATGCAGAGAAACTTGTTTATGCATTTGTTACAGCAGAGTTGATCACTGTAATGATCTTCTTACTGGACCTCCTAAGAAAACAGCACATTTTTTACAAATTGTACAAAATGCGTCAGGATCCTAACAAAAACAAAACAGAGAAATCACATCAGTCCTGTTTTAAACGAACTGCACTGGCTGCCTGTATCACTTAGAATAGATTTTAAAGTTCTGCTACTAGTTTTTAAGGCTCTAAATGACCTTAAAGCTCTGCTTACATCACAGAGTGTCTGTCTATTTGTGTTCCAGCACGTGATCTTAGATCTGCAGATACTGACCTTCTGCAAACACCTTCCATAAAACACGAAAAAACATGGAAAGACTCTTTCAGTTATTCAGGGAATAAAATAATTAAAAATACTGTAATGCTATGTTTGCTTATGAAAATATTATATTTTATGACAGTGTTTTAGGGCCACTGTTAAAAAATGTAAAATAGTAGACTAAAATTAAGTCGTAATGTTTCAAGTTGTAATATTTTGAGAAAAAAAGTTGTAGAATTATGACATTAAAGTGGCATTAATACCAGGAAAAGTCACAATATTATAGTCAAAGGCTTTTCAAAAGGAAGGTAGCAAATTCCTTGTGTTAAAATGAGGGAGGCTGAGGAGTTGGTAGAGTTATACTTTCATATCAGTTTCACCCATAAAGAAGTGAGTGCAACTCCAGTATGCTCAGCATCTTCATTGTCGTCAGTACAGTAACCAGGCCCCTAACGCGTTATGGCAGACCCCCTACAACTAGCCCACTTTATCCTTCAAATATCACAAGCATATTCTTGTAACTTTATTATTAAAATATTATGATTTTATTCTCAAAATATTATGAATTTATTCTAAATATAATTACTCTTGAAATATTATGACTTTTTTCTCAAAGCCTATTATTTTAATTTTTTCTAAAACGCCATTGTAATATTTGTGTCAGAGTATAAGAAGAGTTATGTTTTGAACTTGATGAAAAGTTGTTGTTGAGTATACGTTCTTGTATTGCAGGAAGACATTCACAATTTTTGATGTTGAAATAAACCTGTCCATGCAGAATATAAACTAAATGCAAAAGAAATTCATTGCATAACTAATCATATTAATGTAAAACAACTGCACAGCAAAACAAAAACAATAATTTCCAGTGGTTCATTTCAATCAGATTGTTTAAATAATAAATGCAGCCTCTTAAATCATAAAGTGTGGCTGCTTCGTTGCATTTGCTCAAAAAATTAAAAGGACTGTGGGTTGTAAATTGACAGCAGCAAATTAGAACTGTTTGGAAAGTGTGTGTGTGTGTGTGTGTGCGTAAGTGTGCGCTCATATATATGTGTGTGTGTGTGTCTAACTATGCCACCCACTTCATGATAATTACCCTTCACAGGGCCGCGGTTTGATTTCACGAAGCGCCGTTGGAAAACGGCAGCGCGTCTCTCAAGTCGCCTCCATTTCACAGCGCCACCCTGATCAAAGTTTAGCCCACCAGCACAGCCATGCCCATTTATCCCCCGCTTAATTACTGACAGCCCAGATTACGGTGGTGCAGCGTTTAGCCTGTGGCCGTGACTAAAAGAATCTGACTCTCTCTCTTTCTCTCGCGGTGACTCAGCAGCCGCCACTGAGGGAGACTTGCAGAAGAATTTTAAAGAAGTTAATGTATAAAAGACTGAAAAATGTTCAGTGGGCAGTTCCTGCACTCTGGCCTGGAGGTCCATTAGGATAAGTGAGTTGAGGAAGGGATTTTGATGTTATATAAACATTTACTTTTGTCAACACAGCCTGTTTAGCATAGCATGCTGCAACAGGCCCAGGAATTTTTGCTGACCAGAACATGTTTTTTCATGTTTTCAGACAGTGTCATATGTCTTTATGTACTATTGTCACACACACAGGTTCAAAAAGAAGGTCTGGTTCAATGTTTAGGTCTTAAATGCTAAATTATCATAATGCTGATAAAGATATGATGACAATAGTAGATAGTTCACTCAGAAGATGTGTCCTTCAACAAGTTTAGACAGAGTTCTCTTTGAATTCTCTATCAATCATCAGATTCATCCACAGGGGGAAGGGGTCCGAAACACAAGCCATGTCACAAAGTGTTCTACTGCATGTTGTACGCAATTACACATTTCCACCAGAGAGGTCTCCAAATCACCTGAATCTTATATAGTGCAAATTTAAATCATCAAGATGAAACAAAGTCGTTCAGAGTGGTTTAGTGTTAAAATCGGTGTAAAAATAGAATTGTCATTCTACAGAAACTTACTGAGGCAGAATTATTCACAGTGGTGGTGATGGGAACCAGACGTCTGCCTCTAAAATCCTCCTCACATAAAATTACTACATAAAATGCTGCCAGATGTCTGAGATATTGCTTTGCAATAGTTCTGATACAAACGCTTTGGGGACCGAATTGGATTGGCTTGTGTTAAGAACTAGATATTTTATTTTCCTTCTCTTTTTGATTGGCGTATCACCAAAAGTGTTGAACTTAAGGATAAAGGAACTGTGCCAAGCATCATTTTAGCAGTTAGCCTTCAGTTACAATTGCCAAAAAAAGTAGTGCTGTGATATATTGTCACATTTTGTTTTGAGGTTGATTTGAGCAGGAATTTAATATGAATTATATATTATAGAAGGTAGAAGATTATACAGTGTCAGAAACCACACAAGCAAGTCTTTTCAAGATTAAAAAACAACTTCACATGGTTTGAGGTGATGATTAACACCATGCTAATTGGTGGGGTATAAGATTTCATTGTTTGTTAGCCTCAATGCTCTACAAAACTCAAAACATTGTGCACTGCAGAAATGATCCTGGCAACCAAAAGATTTTTTAACCTAGTCAATAAATAAACAGTTGTCATTTTTCGAATTGTTGTAAGAATGATTATTTAACCTTCATTTCTAGACATTTTTATATTTTATGTTGTGAAATATCAACATTCTGTTTGCAGATCATTTTGCTTGCTTTAAGCATTATGTCTCAAAACAAGTTAAATAATCTGCCACTAAAATGAAAACAATTTTTCAAAATGAAATCACTCAAAAAATGCTTTGAAACAAGACACAATCTCATAACATTCTAACAAGAGTCTAAACATGAGAAATATTCATTTGAAGGCTACCTACATAAGGACTTCATAATACATGCATAAGCATTGAATAACATATCTATAAATTAGTATTTCTGAACAGCTTATGTCATTAATTGAAAGATGTCATAAGATTGTTTAAGAAGCAAATTACGTTGTACTGATATGAGGGGCCTCAAACTTAAGTGATGAACATTATGGCTTATGCAGAGACCTAAATAAGAACACTATATCAGCTGTATATGTATAAATGTGCAGTTTTTAAGGTGTTACAGAAGGACCCATGTCTGTCACCCGTTTGCCATATTAAAATGCAAGGCCTACTTATTAACTTCACAATACATTCTATGTCATCTTGTGATTAATGGCATAGGGTGTTCATACATACTTAATTATTGCTTTAGAAATAGATAATTCAATACTCCTTCCAGTTTTATGAGGTCCTTATTCAGGTTGTCTTCAAATAAAGTGTTACCGAAATATTTTATATATTGCTTAAAATAATGCTTTTACTTGCCAGGATGCCATTTTTGCAGTATCATGGCTGATCAACTACATTTGGGTTAAGGGTCACTTTCTTCTCCTTGTCCTTCTCAAATGTACTCCTTGATTAATGTGAAGTGTGAAGGACAGTCAGAAGAGCATCAGAACATTTGATGAAAAACATGCAGCGGAGTGGCAGAGGGAAGTCTGGGACTTTCCGTTTTAGAGTTGGCAAAAGAAACACATGAGTCTCATTATTAAAATCTCATCCTGAGAATAAAATGATGAAGTGCTAAAAGATTATTCTCACAATCAGACAACTGGAGGTGTTGAGTGACCACTTGGACTGTGTTTGCCATACAAATAAAGTCATGGACAGAGCACACAGCACTAATCAGGCTATGGGTCATTACAGAACACTGAATCAAAACTGAATCTGATCAAAAGCAGCCTTCAGATGTGGCGGAAATCAGTTATCATGGTGAGTTACTGTAAATGTCTATTTAGCAGTTTGCTAATTGACAAACTACAGGAATGCATTTTTTATAATAACATTAGACTTGTCACTGTTACATTAAATTATTAATCTAATTATCTGCTGAATATTTTAACAAAAACTTAATTAAATTTAAAGTCCAAACAATAAAAATGGACAATGAACAGTAACAAATTATGCACAGCCTTTCAAAGATTCCAAATACTTCACTGGAAAAAGATAAGCAATAAGCCTTTAAAAAGATTTGATTCCAATATGCCCATTTGTCCATATGTCCATTTGTAGCAATGAGTGCATTTACCTGCAGAAAATCAGATTTTGTCAGTAATC